TGTCGGCTCTACAAGGGAAAGAAAGAGGAGCTCAATCAACTCATAAGAACATGCAAAAGTCGACTCAGGGCACTGAAAGCTATGACCTGGAATGGACATGGAGCCTCTATTGCCGTGCTTATAATGATGTACACAGCCTATGTGCGCTCCGTCATAGACTATGCCGCACCAGTTCTGTGCACCTACTCCCAAAGCGATATGAAAAGGCTTGAAAGCATTCAAAATGAAGCCATGACAATCATTCTTGGAGTTCCAAGAACTGCCAAAACGTCTAATCTAAGAGAGGAGTTGTCCCTTCCCAGTGTTAAAAGCAGAATTCAGGAGCTGAATGCTAAGCTTGCAATTAGGATAGCCAGAGATCCCCATTACAATGATATTGCTGAGAAAAAACTGAGCTCTGTGCTACTTTCAAGGGGAAACAGGAAAAGCAAAAAATGGCATCACAGATCAATCTGCTACCTCGAAGAGCTTCACCTGCTTGAGCAAGCCCGTGAGCTCCTGCCTGTAGAGAGGTTACCTCCCTGGGAGGATGACTCATGAAAGATCATCATCAATGAAATGGCAACGAAAAAATCCAACATGATACCACAAGAAATGAGGCACAAGTATCTAGAGGAAATTTATAAAGAAGCCGGAGATGAACTATATCAAATCTACACTGACGGGTCATCTAATCCTGTCAATGGCAGGGCTGGTGCATCATACACGGTAATCAAGGATAATACTTTCCAATGCAGAATTGAAGAAAAAGCGCGTATTGAGAACTATGCCTCCTCAACGCAAGCAGAGCTAACTGCCATTGTTATGGCGTTAAGGTTCCTTGAACGGAACACTAATGGTGCAGTGATTTGCACCGATTCAAAAGCAGCACTGCAAAGCCTAAGTAAAAATCAGGCAGAAAATCTTGCAATAGTCGCTGAAATTAAGAGAGCTGTGAGAGTACTTACCAATCAGGGAAGAGACATCAAGTTTCTGTGGATCCCCTCCCATGTTGGAATATGTGGGAATGAACGAGCAGATGTGCTGGCTGCTGAAGGCTCTGAAGGAGACTATATTGAATACTTCATACCCAAGACTCAACAACAAATTAGAGGTATTATCAGGCAACATCACCGTGACAAGGTAACTGAGGAAAGGAGGATAGAAGCACAAACCAGTGAATCTGTACGATGGTACAACATGGTTGCAGCTGGCAATCCCAGTCATTATGGCCGAAGAGGAGGAGGACGAGGGAGAGAATCAGTAATAGCGAGAATCCCTCTTGGATACAAATATCCATGGAGATTTGGAATGGAAACAACAGTTGATCAGCGAAGCTGCAGAATCTGTGGTGAGAGTGATGGACACCGCCTTGACCACTATCTACGTGAATGTAAACACCTGAGAGACATTAGGAAAATGTGTAGAATAATAAACCCCACATTGTTTGAGTTAGGAAAACACTATTTGTCAAATATTGATACTGTTCTTAAAAGATTTCTCCATTTTGCACCCGCAAGATAACGTAAGCTTTTAAGGGTTGATAGATGTTAATCTTCTTGTTTGAGGAGCTGTTCACTTGAGACAGTTAAGCAAGTCCCAGCTGTGTCTGGGTAAAAGTGACAGGATGAACAACCCAGCGGGTTTTCTTCCTATTGAGGAGTGGTGTACATGCTGCTATGGCGGTATGTCCACTCACAAGATAAGTGGCGATGCCCAATAAACTCACCCCTCGGGGCAAAATTTTAAATTTAAGCAAGCCAGATAGTACGTGACGAGCAGAACACATAAAAAAGCCAGATAGTATGTGGGGAGAAGAACACGTCAACAAGCCACTTAGTACATAGCGAGTAGAACACATGAACAACCCAGACAGTACATGGCGAGCAGAACACATTAACAAGCCAGATAGTACATGGCGAGCAGAACACATCAACAAGACAGATGGTACGTGGCGAGTGAACACATGAACAAGCAAGATAGTACATGGCAAGCAGAACACATAAAAAAGCAAGACAGAATGCGGAGAACAGAACACATGACCAAGCCAGGTAGTATGTGGGGAACAGGACACATTAACAAGCCAGATAGTATGTGGCGAGCAGAACACATCAACAAGCCAGTTAGTATGTTACAAGCAGAATACGAAAACAAGCCAGATAGTATGTGGCAAGCAGAACACGTGAACAAGCTAGATAGTACGTAACGAGCAGAACACATGAACAAGCCAGATAGTACATGGCAAACTGAACACACGAACAAGCCAGATAGTATGTGGCAAACAGAATACATGAACAAGCCTGATAGTAAATGGTGAGCAGAACACATGAACAAACCAGACAGTATGTGGCGAACAGAACACTTGAACAAGCTAGATAGTATGTCGCGAGCAGAACACATGAACTAGCACGATAGTATGTGGCTAACAGAACGCATCAACAAGCCAGATAGTACCTGGCGAGCAGAGCACTTGAACAAGCCAGATAGTATGTGGCAAGAAGAACACATGAACAAGACAGATAGTACGTGGCGAGCAGAACACGTCAACAAGCCAGATAGTACGTGGCGAGCAGAACACATGAACAAGCCAGATAGTATGTGGCAAGCAGAACACAGTAACAAGCCATATAGTACTTTGCAAACAGAACACATGAACAAGCCAGATAATATGTGGCAAGGCAGAACATATGAGCAAGCTAGATAGTATATTGCGAGCAGAACACATGAACAAGTTCGATTGTACATGGCGAACAGAACACATCAACAATCCAGATAGTACGTTTCGAGCAGAACACATTAACAAGCCAGTTAGTATGTGGCGAGCAGAACACATGAACAAGCCAGATAGTATGTAACGAACAGAACACATCAACATTCCAGTTAGTACATGGCGAGCAGTAGACATCAACAAGCCAGTTATTACGTGGTGAGCAGAACACATGAACAAACCAGACAGTATGGGCGAGCAGAACACATTAACAAGCCAGATAGTACCTTGCGAGCAGAACACATGAACAAGCCAGATAGTGCCTTGCGAGCGAACACATGAACAAGCCAGACAGTATGCGGCGAACAGAACACATCAAGAAGCCAAATAGTATGTGGCGAGCAGAACACTTGAACAAGCCAGATAGTATGTGGCAAGCAGAACACATGAACAAGACAGATAGTACGTGGCGAGCAGTACACATCAACAAGCCAGAGAGTACGTGGCGAGCAGAACACACGAACAAGCCAGATAGTACATGTCGAGCAGAACACATGAACAAGACAGATAGCACGTGGAGAGCAGAACACATGAACAAGCAAGATAGTACGTGACGAGCAGAACACATGAACAAACCAGAGAGCACGTGGCGAGCAGAACACATGAACAAGCCAGATAGTACCTGGCGAGCAGAACACCTCAACAAGCCAGATAGTACATGGTGAGCAGAACACTTGAACAAGGCAGATAGTATGTGGCAAGCAGAACACATGAACAAGACAGATAGTACGTGGCGAGCAGTACACATCAACAAGCCAGATAGTACGTGGCGAGCAGAACACATGAACAATCAAGATAGTACGTGACGAGCAGAACACATGAACAAACCAGAGAGCACGTGGCGAGCAGAACACATGAACAAGCCAGATAGTACCTGGCGAGCAGAACACGTCAACAAGCCAGATAGTACGTGGCGAGCAGAACACTTGAACAAGCCAGATAGTATGTGGCAAGCAGAATACATGAACAAGACAGATAGTATGTGGCGAGCAGTACTCATCAACAAGCCAGAGAGTACGTGACGAGCAGAACACACAAACAAGCCAGATAGTATATGTCGAGCAGAACACATGAACAAGACAGATAGTACGTGGCGAGCAGAACACATGAACAAGGAAGATAGTACGTGACGAGCAGAACACATGAACAAACCAAAGAGCACGTGGCGAGCAGAACACATGAACAAGCCAGATAGTACCTGGTGAGCAGAACACGTCAACAAGCCAGATAGTACGTGGCGAGCAGAACACATGAACAAGCCAGATAGTACGTGGCGAGCAGAACACTTGAACAAGCCAGATAGTATGTGGCAAGCAGAACAAATGAACAAGACAGACAGTACGTGGCGAGCAGTACACATCAACAAGCCAGTGAGTACGTGGCGAGCAGAACACACGAACAAGCCAGATAGTACATGTCGAGCAGAACACATGAACAAGACAGATAGTATGTGGCGAGCAGAACAGATGAACAAGCAAGATAGTACATGACGAGCAGAACACATGAATAAACCAGAGAGCACGTGGCGAGCAGAACACATGTAGAAGCCAGATAGTACCTGGCAGAACAGTCACAAGCCAGATAGTACGTGAGCAGAACACGTCAACAAGCCAGATAGTATGTGGCAAGCAGAACACATGAACAAGACAGATAGTATGTGGCGAGCAGTACACATCAACAAGCCAGAGAGTATGTGGCGAGCAGAACACACGAACAAGCCAGATAATACATGTCGAGCAGAACACATGAACAAGACAGATAGTACGTGACGAGCAGAACACATGAACAAGCCAAATAGTACCTGGCAAGCAGAACACGTTAACAAGCCAGGTAGTACGTGGCGAGCAGAACACATGAACAGGCCAGATAGTATGTGGCAAGCAGAACACAGTAACAAGCCATATAGTACTTTGCGAACAGAACACATGAACAAGCCAGATAATATGTTGCAAGGCAGAACATATGAGCAAGCTAGATAGTATATTACGAGCAGAACACATGAACAAGTTAGATAGTACGTGGCGAACAGAACACATCAACAATCCAGATAGTACATTTCGAGCAGAACACATCAACAAGCCAGTTAGTACGTGGCGAGCAGAACACATGAACAAGCCAGATAATCTGTTACGAACAGAACACATCAACATTCCAGTTAGTACATGGCAAGCAGTAGACATCAACAAGCCAGTTATTACTGGCGAGCAGGTCAACGCCAGATAGACACACAGAACACTTGAACAAGCCAGATAGTATGTGGCAAGCAGAACACATGAACAAGACAGATAGTACGTGGCGAGCAGTACACATCAACAAGCCAGAGAGTTCATGGCGAGCAGAACACACGAACAAGCCAGATAGAACATGTCGAGCAGAACACATGAACAAACCAGATAGTACATGGCAAGCAGAACACATGAACAAGCCAGATAGTACCTGGTGAGCAGAATACATGAACAAGCCAGATAGTACCTGGCGGGCAGAACACATCAACAAGCCAGACAGTACGTGTCGAGCAGAACACTTGAACAAGCCAGATAGTATGATTCGAGCAGAACACATTTACAAGCCAGATAGTACTTCACTAAAATAACACATGAACAAGCCAGATAATATGTGTCAAGGCCGAACATATGAGCAAGCTAGATAGTATATTGCGAGCAGAACACATGAACAAGCCAGATTGTACATGGCGAGCAGAACACATCAACAAGCTATATATTATGTGGTGAGCAGATCACATGAACAAGCCAGACAGTACGTGGCGAGCAGAACACATGAACAAGCCAGATAGTATGTGTCGAGCAGAACACATCAAGAAGCCAGTTAGTAGGTGGCGAGCAGAATACATGAAGAGGCCAGACAGTACGTGGCGAGCAGAACACATGAACAAGCCAGAAAGTTCGTTGGGAGCAGAACGTATGAACAAACCAGATAGTACATGGCGAACAGAACACATGATCAAGCAAGATAGCATGTGGGGAGGACCACACATGAACAAACCAGACAGTACGGGCCAAGCAGAACACATGAACAAGCCAGATAGTACCTTGCGAGCAGAACACATCAACAAGCCAGATAGTATGCGGCGTGCAGAACACATCATCAAGCCAGATAGTATGTGGCGAGCAGAACACTTGAACAAGCCAGATAGTACGTGGCAAGCAGAATACCTGAACAAGCCAGATAGTACGTAGCGAGCAGAACACATCAACATGCCAGATAGTACGTGGCGAGCAGAACACATGAACAAGCCAGATAATATGTGGCGAGTAGAACACGTCAACAAGCCACATAGTACGTGGCGAGCAGAACACATGAACATGCAAAACAGTACATTGCGAGTAGAACACTTGAACAAGCCAGATAGTGCGTGGCGAGCAGAATAAATGAACAAGCCTGTTAGTACGTGGCAAACAAAACACATGAACAAGCCATATGGTATGTGGCGAGCAGAACACATCAACAAGCCAGTTAGTAAGCGGCGTGCAGAACACATTAACAAGCCAGACAGTTCGAAGTGAGCAGAACACATGAACAAGTCAGATAGTACGTGGCAAGCAGAACACATGAACAAGCCAAATAGTACGTGGTGAGCAGTATACATGAACAAGCCATATAGTACGTGGCAAACAGAAAACATGAACAAGCCAGATAGTACGTGGCGAGAAGAATACATGAACAAGCTAGATAGTATGTGGCGCGCAGAACACATGAACAAGCCAGATAGAACGTGGCGAGCAGAACATTTGAGCAAGCTAGATTGTACATGGCGAACAGAACACCTGAACAAGCCAGATAGTATGTGGCATACAGAAAACATGAACATGCCAGATAGTACATGGCGAAAAGAACACATGAACAAGCCAGACAGTACGTGGCGAGGAGAACACATGAACAAGCCAGATAGTACGTGGCGAGCAGAAAACTTGAACAAGCTTGATAGTACGTTGTTAGCAGAACACATGAACAAGCCAGATAGAACGTGGCAAGCAGAACATTTGAACAAGCTAGATAATACATGGCAAGCAGAACACATGAACAAGCCAGATAGTATGTGACGAGCAGAACACATGAACAAGCCAGATAGTACGTGGTGAGCAGAACACATGAACAAGCCACATAGTACATGGTAAGCAGAACACATGAACAAGCCAGATAGTACGTGGCGAGCAGTCCACACCAACGAGCCAGAGAGTATGTGGCGAGCAGAACACACGAACAAGCCAGATAGTACATGTCGAGCAGAACACATGAACAAGACAGATAGTACGTGACGAGCAGATCACATGAACAAACCAGAGAGCACGTGGCGAGCAGAACACATGAACAAGCCAGATAGTACCTGGCGAGCAGAACACGTTAACAAGCCAGGTAGTACGTGGCGAGCAGAACACATGAACAAGCCAGATAGTATGTGGCAAGCAGAACACAGTAACAAGCCAAATAGTACTTTGCGAACAGAACACATGAACAAGCCAGATAATATGTGGCAAGGCAGAACATATGAGCAAGCTAGATAGTATATTGCGAGCAGAACACATGAACAAGTTAGATAGTATGTGGCGAACAGAACACATCAACAATCCAGATAGTACATTTCGAGCAGAACACATCAACAAGCCAGTTAGTACGTGGCGAGCAGAACACATGAACAAGCCAGATAGTATGTTACGAACAGAACACATCAACATTCCAGTTAGTACATGGCAAGCAGTAGACATCAACAAGCCAGTTATTACCTGGCGAGCAGAACACGTCAACAAGCCAGATAGTACGTGGCGAGCAGAACACTTGAACAAGCCAGATAGTATGTGGTAAGCAGAACACATGAACAAGACAGATAGTACGTGGCGAGCAGTACACATCAACAAGCCAGAGAGTACATGGCGAGCAGAACACACGAACAAGCCAGATAGTACATGTCGAGCAGAACACATGAACAAACCAGATAGTACATGGCAAGCAGAACACATGAACAAGCCAGATAGTACCTGGTGAGCAGAATACATGAACAAGCCAGATAGTACCTGGCGGGCAGAACACATCAACAAGCCAGATAGTACGTGGCGAGCAGAACACTTGAACAAGCCAGATAGTATGATTCGAGCAGAACACATTAACAAGCCAGATAGTACTTCGCTAAAATAACACATGAACAAGCCAGATAATATGTGGCAAGGCCGAACATATGAGCAAGCTAGATAGTATATTGCAAGCAGAACACATGAACAAGCCAGATTGTACGTGGCGAACAGAACACATCAACAATCCAGATAGTATGTGGCGAGCAGAACACATCAACAAGCCAATTAGTACGTGGCGAGCCGAATACATGAACATGCCAGACAGTACCTGGCGAGCAGAACACATCAACAAGTTATATATTATGTGGTGAGCAGAACACATGAACAAGCCAGACAGTACATGGCGAGCAGAACACATGAACAAGCCAGATAGTATGTGTCGAGCAGAACACATGAACAAGCCAGTTAGTACGTGGCGAGCAGAATACATGAAGAAGCCAGACAGTACGTGGCGAGCAGAACACATGAACAAGCCAGAAAGTTCGTTGGGAGCAGAACACATGAACAAGCCAGAAAGTTCGTTGGGAGCAGAACGTATGAACAAACCAGATAGTACATGGCGAACAGAACACATGATCAAGCCAGAAAGCATGTGGCGAGGACCACACATGAACAAACCAGACAGTACGAGCCGAGCAGAACACATGAACAAGCCAGATAGTCCCTTGTGAGCAGAACACATCAACAAGCCAGATAGTATGCGGCGAGCAGAACACATCAACAAGCCAGATAGTATGTGGCGAGCAGAACACTTGAACAAGCCAGATAGTACGTGGCAAGCAGAACACCTGAACAAGCCAGATAGTACGTAGCGAGCAGAACACATCAACATGCCAGATAGTACGTGGCGAGCAGAACACATGAACAAGCCAGATAATATGTGGCGAGCAGAACACGTCAACAAGCCACATAGTACGTGGCGAGCAGAACACATGAACAAGCAAAACAGTACATTGCGAGTAGAACACTTGAACAAGCCAGATAGTACGTGGCAAGCAGAACACATGATCAAGCCAGATAGTACGTGGTGAGCAGAATAAATGAAGAAGCCAGTTAGTATGTGGCGTGCAGAACACATTAACAAGCCATATGGTATGTGGCGAGCAGAACACATCAACAAGCCAGTTAGTACGTGGCGTGCAGAACACATTAACAAGCCAGACAGTTCGAAGTGAGCAGAACACATGAACAAGCCAGATAGTACATGGCGAGCAGAACACATGAACAAGTCAGATAGTACGTGGCGAGCAGAACACATGAACAAGCCAGATAGTACATGGCGAGCAGAACACATGAACAAGTCAGATAGTATGTGGCGAGCAGAACACATGAACAAGCTAAATAGTACGTGGCGAGCAGTATACATGCAACCTGTTGTATTAGTATTATGTTGTATATGTATTATGTTATGTATATGTATATATTATTACTACATGTGTTATGTTGTATAAGTATTAGTGAATTTAGAATAATAAAAAACGTTTAGAATCTATTTCAAGGCAAATAACGAATAAAAGAGAACCATAGGAAGACTTGAAACAATAAAAAACGGGCAGAAAGGATCGTCATAGAAAATGGCCAAACAATTTACAGGCAAGCTAAAGTATTTCCAAACATCAATTATGCAAACAAATGTGAAATTGTAATTGTAATATTTTAGGGTAGATAAAAACAATGTTTTACATAGTTTTTTGTTAGGTTTCATTCATACTAAGCTAAATTCCCTATTGTACAGGGCTGATTGGAGAAAGGGTAAACCGATTTAATAATTAATTATTTAATTTGCGGCAATGACCCTGCCATAGTCGACAGTCACTGGAATGGCGTTTTGCGAGCGCTTTATCCTGGGTTTCGTAACCTGACCGGGGAGGATTGACCAGGCGCAAATCATTTCTGTAGCCTCTGTTCTCCCAGCAGTGAACCGGGTTTTTAAACGATTTGGCGGGGTCGTATTCCTGGGAAAATTAGGATTAAGAACCTGCCCAAAACGCTTATGCGTGCTAGTGGCCTCCCACGAATGTAAGAACTCTTGTATATTTAAGTAAAATATTAAATAATAAGTTTTAAACATATTGGTTATCTTGTTGCTTGCAAGTGAAGAGATCATTAGGAGGAAGATGGTCCACCATACTACCTCTGACGACACCACCACAATACATCATCAGTCACTCGTAATCAAATATTCAACAACAAATTCTTTTACCACGGCTCATTCCCCGGAAGAAAGAATCATGCAACACATTTTTGCTAGAAACGTGAGCCTTACGGAGACCAACCAGAAGGTAGAGTGAAGCAGACATCACTGCTACACTCCCGTAACTACAGCTTCTTCTTCCATAAATTACCATCTCATTGGCACTTTGTCCTCCTCACGCTGGCACTCTCAGAGTCACGGCCTTGTTATTATTAATGACTGACCTGTGTTCCTTCTGCTTAATAGACCTTCGGCGAACTATAGCAGCTCATGGCTGCCATAATTCGCAGACATGGTGGCTGTGCCACAGACAACCACCATGTCTCAGGGAACCATCACCATCTTGTGCCACAGACAGCCTCCATTGCTCAGGGAATTAACAGCATCTTGTGCCACAGACGGAAAGGATACTCATTGCTGCACTGTTCGGGTTTAAAGTTCCGCAAGAGATTCCAAAGATCTCAAAGATCGCCTGTATCATTCACCAGAGTCGATGAGGATGAAGCCTGTATCATCCACCAGAGTCGATGAGGATGAAGCCTGTATCATCCACCAGAGACGAGGAGGACTGTATCATCCACCAGAGACGAAGAGAAGGAGGAAGACTGTATCATCCACCAGAGACGAAGAGGAGGAGGAAGACTGTATCATCCACCAGAGACGAGAAGGATGAAGCCTGTATCATCCACCAGAGACGAAGAGGAGGAGGAAGACTGTATCATCCACCAGAGACGAGGAGGATGAAGCCTGTATCATCCACCAGAGACGAAGAGGAGGAAGAAGACTGTATCATCCACCAGAGACGAGGAGGAGGAAGACTGTATCATCCACCACAGACGAGGAGGAGGAAAAAGACTGTATCATCCACCAGAGACGAGGAGGATGAAGCCTGTATCATCCACCAGAGACGAAGAGGAGGAGGAAGACTGTATCATCCACCAGAGACGAAGAGGAGGAGGAAGACTGTATCATCCACCAGAGACGAAGAGGAGGAGGAAGACTGTATCATCCACCAGAGACGAGGAGGATGAAGCCTGTATCATCCACCAGAGACGAAGAGGAGGAAGAAGACTGTATCATCCACCAGAGACGAGGAGGAGGAAGACTGTATCATCCACCAGAGACGAAGAGAAGGAGGAAGACTGTATCATCCACCAGAGACGAAGAGGAGGAGGAAGACTGTATCATCCACCAGAGACGAGGAGGATGAAGCCTGTATCATCCACCAGAGTCGAAGAGGAGGAGGAAGACTGTATCATCCACCAGAGACGAGGAGGATGAAGCCTGTATCATCCACCAGAGACGAAGAGGAGGAAGAAGACTGTATCATCCACCAGAGACGAGGAGGAGGAAGACTGTATCATCCACCAGAGACGAAGAGAAGGAGGAAGACTGTATCATCCACCAGAGACGAAGAGGAGGAGGAAGACTGTATCATCCACCAGAGACGAGGAGGATGAAGCCTGTATCATCCACCAGAGTCGAAGGGGAGGAGAATGAAGCGTGAATCATCCACCAGAGACGAGGAGGAGGATTAAGCCTGTATCATCCACTAGAGACGAGGAGGAGGATGAAGCCTGTATCATCCACCAGAGACGAGGAGGAGGATGAAGACTGTATCATCTACCAGAGACGATGAGGGGGATGAAGCCTGTATCATCCACTAGACGCGAGAAGGATGAAGCCTGTATCATCCACCAGAGAGGAGGAGGAGAATGAAGCCTGTATCATCCACCTGACTCAAAGAGGAGGAGGATGTTACCTGTGTCATCCACCAGAGACGAGGAGGATGGGGATGAAGCCTGTATCATCCACCAGATACGATGAGGAGGATTCTGCCAGTATCATCCGCCAGAGACGAGAAGGAGGAGGATGAAGCCTGTATCATCCACCAGATACGAGGAGGAGGATTCTGCCACTATCATCCACCAGAGACGAGAAGGAGGATTCTGCCAGTATCATCCACCAGAGACGAGAAGGATGATGCCAGTATCATCCACAAGAGACGAGGAGGCGGATGAATCCTGTATCATCCACCAGAGACAAGGAGGAGGAGGAGGATGCTGCCTATATCATCCACCAGAGACGAGGAGAGGGAGGAGGATGCTGCCAGTATCATCCACCAGAGGCGATGAGGAGGCTGATACTGCCTGTATCATCAGATACGTAAGATCAGTAGTTACCAAAAGTATCAAGTCGGGAAACAAAAGCGTCAGATATTTCTTGACAAGAGAATTTGTAATTTGAGAACAGACGAATTTCATCCATAGACTGAACCTCTACTAAGCAATCGAACATTTTTGTACACAAGTGGTCCTGTGTGCAGCAAATTGACGTCGTCCATCTAATTCTGATATTACCTTTTTTCCAAAACATGCGTTAAAAATCAAATTAGCTACTTCATCAAATTCTTATAGCCAGCTTTTGCATACAAAGCCTCCTGATGTAGAGTACTGTGAAAGTTGATGTGGATGTATACAACACCTTTCGATGTCACCATATTTCTTAAACACGTTTACAAACTAGTATCTCAACCAATCATGTTGGGCCCCCATCATTTATCATGGAAATCTTTGTTTAAAAGTCAATTTCGTGTCGATTAGGCAATTCGTTTACCTGTATATTTCAGTCTTGTGTTATGTGTTATGTTCAGGCAACGTGACCAAGCCAACCAGCTTTTTGCATATTTCGGCACCACTATATAATAAATTTTTATTATTATGAACTTTTTTATTGACCAAATTAATATACTAATCTGGATAATTCAGAAAAGTCTTATTGCAAAATCAAGCAGTAATGACTGGCATAGCTGATGATGTAAGCCATTGGGTAATTAACATGAACCAATATTTTCCTTAGATGTTCTGCTCTTTGCTTTCCTCATAACTATTCCATCTTTCACTGTATTCCTACTCACTGGAAAATATTTACTGCACTGGGTAACTGGTTCCTTTTCTAGAAAACCATCAAAATGCAAAGAAGCCCATTTTTTGCCATATTTTATTTTACCCCCGTCCCATCCCAACTCCTTATCCTGACCTATTACCTGTGCTGTCTAATTGTAATAATTTTGTGCCTTCCCCTGATAGTTCCCTTCCCCACCTGTTTCAGTGTGCTGGCGCTCCCTGCACCACACCTGGCAGCACCATACCTGGCTGCATAAAATAAGAGCCTATGATATTTGTGTTGACAAAAATAAATCTAAAGTCTACTTGAGGATAACACTGCTGCAACAGTCTCCTCAAACGACTCCTTACAGAAAAGCTAATACTGCCATAAAATGGTAATTTAATATATTTAATATCCCTTTCTACTGTAGTAATCCTACACGATGGGTGAAACTTCTTATTTAAGAAATTCCTTATAAAGGTATAAACCATGTGCAAAGGATAACTATTATTTTAAAAAAATTCACAAGAAAATTCATTTCTTGGTCAAAGTCATTCCAATTAGAACATAAAACAAAGGCCCAATTCA